CAGATGGAAAATGTGTAAATACCTGCGTAAAGGTATGGAGTTTGTGGTAAAAACCATTTCGAGTCCATGCCTACGGTGGCTGCGTTATGGAGTTTTTTTAACTGACTTTCAATAAGACTTCCGGTACCTACACATGTCTCCGAAGGATTAACGTTACCCGTGTATGTGCAGCAGTTTTGATAAGTTAACTCGTTCAAAACCTACATTCTTTCTTATCGGTTTGGTCTCTTTTAATACAACAGTGCGCAAACACATAAATATTGAGGCGTCATAGTTTAGAGGAAAATCATCTGAGTTTAGAATCTTGCCATGGATACCTAAGTTATCATATCTTGACGTTAGCAAGTACATTTGAGATGCTATGAAATGCACTGTATTCTATTCTCCAAATACAATGAAATTAACCTGTACAAAACGTATGGTGGTCTACGGAATATTTGCATAATCGATATTTCTTCAGATGTCAGGAAAGACTGAGTATGAAGTTATGAATGACTTCTAACGTCTTGGATGTTTGACTGTCATAAACTGAGCGCTCGATGATAATAGACTGTTTAGAGAATAATCCCTAAGTCCTAAAGTACGACCAAGTCAGGAGAAGGGTATTTGTTTTCCCAATGGAGGATACTTGCCTATAACGGCATTGGCCACTACTAAGACCAGTAGTGGTGGTCATTTTATTGTGGAGGCACCTAATAGACGACTCCGTTACCTCCTATGAAGGGACAGAAAATTTTACATCCATGCCTTCTGGAATCGAACCCGGGCCTTTCGGGATCGCAGTCAGGTTCTCCTAACCGCTGTACTGCCTGGGCGGCGGGAGAAGGGTATAAAGAACCCTTTATTAAGTGAAATAAAATTCACAGATGACACCAATTCGTGCTTACAAAAGCCACCACTTTGGCTTAACTCAAAATTAATGCATAACTAAAATTAAATGAAGTTAAGTTTAGCCTAACAGTTTTATAAGTTAACTATCGTGTAAGCTATCTCTGATTCGAAAAAAAGGCTAATGGCAAGAATATCTCAACGCCACAGAAATCTAATGGCTAGAAAATCAAACATAGCAACATGGCCTTTCGCAAGACTTTCGCAAGTAGAACACGCTCTAATTTTACCTCCCAAAACTTTCCCTTAAATACTAATTTCTTTCTATCTCATTTGAATACGCATGCGCTAGACGAGTTACATTCTAGCAAGAAAGTGTGAGCTGAAAGCAAGAGCGATAAGAAAGTCTCTTAAACATAAAATAACTCTTATGTAAATTACATAAATCCCCATAGACTGGCTAATATTTCTGCCACAGATTAGTTTATTTCCCTTTTTTGGCATTCTAGTGTATAAAGCATCAGTTACTGATTTCGAGTCAAAATACATCTACAAGTTTAAAAAGTTGATACATTTTAATTTATGAACATGTAAGTTATTCCGAATTTCTTTCAAATAAAATTTGACGCTTTCTATAAATCCTAATAGCTGCTTTGTAGCATACGTTTTAGTATAATTAGAATCAGCATCAAAATAAACAATGGCGATCTTTATATATGTTGCCTGTGCTCATTAGTTCTGTAATATAAAGAATCAGTTTGTGGTTTTAATCAAAGAAACTCCTGACTTACGCATTAATTCAAATTTTTGTGCATTCACAACACATCTTTTTCTATTAAACTCTTTACTTGTGTTTATTACATATGCGATTATAGGATAACTTTTTAAAAAATGATTTTATACAAATATTGTTTACTTGCTTCAATTTCAGAGATGTTTAAAACGTAATCAGTTTCCTGCTTATAAAATACTGGACTTTTGTGAAATTTCAAATAATCATGACTCTATTAAAACTGAATTTTGTTAATCAAAATAGCTATTGTTAAATGCAATAAATTTCGAACCAAGATTTGTTTTTCAATTTCATACACATCCGGATTCCTCAATTTAACAAATCTGTTAAAAATATTTTTAAAATTGTGTCACCGAAAAAATTTTACCGTACCAAAGCAAATCATCCAAATGTATAAAAATGTAGTAACTGGTTGACGAGGAGCCTGATAATATGACTAATGAAAAACAGCCTCGAAATAAGAGCTGTATATTTTGTAACTATTATTCTTGATACATATGGTGGCAGTATCATGAAGCTGTTACCTCCAACTTTGTTGACCTATTTCGGCCGCTTTGTATGTAATTTCTGATTCCATGTGGATATAATCTTTTATATCATGAATGGTTTCGGCGTACTGTAAGAAGCAATAGAAAATAACGCCAGTTGCACACTACCAAATAGTACCATTATTTTCCTCGTATAAAGTTTCAGTTTTAGCATGCATTTTGGGGATTCATCAGTTTCTAGCTGGCATTCAGAATAATAATATATTGTCAGGTCTAATTTGTATTAGGTATAATTATTCTATTTGAATTATATTTATTGATATCATTATTTCTGTTCTTAAAGAACAAAGAAGTATAAACAATTTGGGGATGTAGTTTTAGTTAGTTCGTGAGAAATCAACATTCTTGACTTTATCAAATAGGAAGAAACTATTCACTTAGTATGTGATCTATTTCTGCATTAGGCCATTAATGTTTACCAAAGGATCAGATTCTACTAGTGTTTTCCGTTCGTTATCATTGATGTCTGCTAATTAGTGTTGTGATGTTGCTCCGTTTCAAATATTATATCCATGTGACTGGAATTTTTGTAGCAATTCCTAGTCTCTTTACTCTTTATTTATCTTAGTTTAAAATGCTCTCTTGTTTCTGGCTACCTCAATTGCATTGTGGCCAAGTTTCAATTTGTAAAAAACAAAAATGTCAATTTTTAGTTCAACTGTATGCTTGTTTATACTGTAACTTGAAAATCTAAAAATCAATTGATTCTGTAAACACTTGGGGGGAGATGAGTTATTTTCAGTGTGTAACACCGAAGCATCATTTATTGGTACTTTCAAATAAAAGTTGTTTTATCCCAAATAAAACGTTTTATGTTTTACAACCCAACAAAAATAAAAGTTTTATAATTTAAAATCGCATAATTTACTTTAAAAAAACTTTTATTATTTCGAAGCACACAATTTACTTTTTAAAAACATTCACAACTAAATAGTAACTTAAGAAATATATCTAAACATTGCTTACTTAAGTTCTCGCGTAGTACAGCTTAACAGAGAAGAGAAACACGCCATAGTAAAACATAAAATTAGGGAAAACAAGAACGTTATGTTTGGCGTAGATTTTAATTACCACTTTATTGATTTCGAAGGCAAATAGATACAGATCCTTCTTCATCGGGAGCAAAGAAATTTCAATAAGGAGAAGATCCGCGGCCGTATTTATACCAAAAAGCAAAGGAATAAAGCGAACGAGAAGGTAGAGTCATCTTTCCACAGAAATAGTAAAGAAAAGTGAAAAATTAAGCCAGTACTTTTGCTTTACGGAATTTCTTCGCTCCCGTGAACCTGTACCCGTTCATCCTCGAAATCGATAGCGTCTTAATTAAAACTTACAACACACACAACATTTTGCTTTGCTTATTTTTACAATATAGCTTAGTCTTCAATAATATCTATCTGATTCAGAAGTCAAACAACAAAAATCAGCGTTTGTTTCAAACAGAGTTCTCAACTCTGTTTGAAACAAACACATTTTGTTTTCCAAAATAAATATTACAAGCAAACTGAGGGATTAGCCATGGGAAGCCCCCTCAGTCCCATCCTGGCTGATATCTACATGCATTATTATGAATCAAAATTGTTTGAAACTTTAAACTTCCCGGCATGGTTCCGCTACGTAGACGATACTTTTACTCTGTTTGAAGGTAATAAAGGTGATTTAAATAAAGTTCTTTCAACAATGAATTCTATTGATCCTGCTATTCAGTTCACTTTTTAACTTGAGACTTGCAATTCTATTCCGTTTCTCGACATTCTGGTCACACGTAACACATCCAACTTCAGTACTACGGTTTACCGTAAACCTTCATCGGTTTGCCTTCCACCACACTTTAAATCATGTCATCCGACTAAACAAAAGTTAGCTTCATTTTATTCCTATGTTTTCCGTGCTCTTCAAGTTTGCTCCTCCAAACTAGCCCTTGATGAAGAACTAAATTGTTTAAAAGCAATAGCTATTGACAGGGGCTTTCCACCCAACATTATTAATCAAGCAGTTAAAAAATTCTCATCTCAACACACTAAAAGGCACACTCTTGTTTTAGGAGATTATAAAAATTCTGTTGTCATTCCTTTCTTTCCATCAATTAGCTATAAAGTTGCACATATTTTTCAGAAATTTATCTTTCGGGTTGTTTATTCTCCCATCAATAAAATTCCGAGTTCCATACTCAAGGACCCCATTCCGGATATGAATTCCTGGGGTATTTATAGGATTCCTTGCCAGTGTGGTTTAATTTACATTGGCCAAACTAAGAGAGCCTTAAAATTTCGCGTCAAGGAATATGAGGCATATGTTAGAAAAAAGGAAACACAGAAGTCTTCTGTTGCTCAACATTGTTGGTCCGAAAACCACACTTTCAGTTTTTCTGCTGCCAAAATTATTCAAAAAACATCTTCCATTGGAGAACTGGATTTTTCTAGAGGCATTTCACATTCATAAAAATCTTTCTGTTCTAGTTAACGATCCTAATTCCAATCCAAATTTGCCTTCGGCCTTTAAAGAAATCATGTTTTAGTTCTGGTTTCACCAACAGATGGCGCCACTTGCTTATTCTTGTCCAGGCTTTCTTATCTAATCATTAGTTCCTAACTGGTTCATTTGCGGTTTTGCAGCTGAAGATGGTGGTTCGGTAAACCATCGAAACTAGTCCTGTGAAAAAAATTTTGTAAATATAACGCTGATTTTTGTTGTTTGACTTCTGAATTAGTATTTAATCGGCGTGTTATTGTGTCTTAGTATCTATCTGGTTAGAAATGCTTGGCACTTATGTAATATGTCGCTTAAATTACATTTAATAATATTTTCTGAAAATATGAAACTCTTTACAGATCTACTGGCGAAATAACTCTGAAACGTCAGTTACCCGATACAATAACGGAGTGGGTAGGAAAAGCAGTATGCATTAACTCCAAGAATGGACTCAGCATTTCAGACACAAGCAGCATTATTGCTTTCCAGCCCTTTTTGCTTTCTCTCCAGATGCCCGATTCTGCAGCAAGAGGAGAAATCGTGTCTATAATCGCCTCTGTCTTCAATTACATGCCAGAATGTCTGCCGGTATGAGTATCATTTTGAAAAAAAAACCAGCTTTATACGTAACTACTATAGTGATTATTGTTGCCAACTAACACTCAAAGAGTTAGATACTGATCGAGTGATTGATCGTGCTTACTTTAACAAGTTATTATGCTTTAAATGTTTACTATCACTTCTTATTTCCGTTTGTTTCCCTGACAGAATGTAAACTAGGTTAAGAGTACTTAAAAAGCAAGGTTTTCAGATTGTAAGACATAGCGTGTTTCTGACTCTCAAGGCACGGTTTAGCTAGCTCTGACAGATTAGAATTCTTCGGATTTGCATTATAGCTGCCGAAATTTGAACTTTTACGCCGGTAATATATTTTTGAGAAAACTTTGCGATAAACCAGATGTGTAGTCTTTGGCTACTAGATTTAGTTTTAATTTGAAGTGACGGTTGATTTGTAAGTACTAGTCAGACATTTATGTCCCAGTTCTGATTTAAAATAAAAAGATTGTTTCAAAACCATTTTCAAGACTCTGCATTTTTATCAGACGAAGCCATAATTCACTCTTTAAGTCTGTGAAGAGTTTGGGCTTAGTTTATGCTACCAAAGAACACCAAACTCCATATGAGATCGTTCATTAAAAGTAAAATGCTTGTCGAAAACTCTCGAATGTTACTGAAAATCGTAATGTAATCGTAATTGATAAAAAAATGACAAAAATTCTGATATTTTATTAAGTTAAAAAATCACCGTGATTGTTCAGAACGGATACTTCTCATCAAATAGAAAGATGCAATTTGTCGGTGTCTTTCAACTAAGGTGATTTTTAACAAAGTAAGGTGAGAAAACATACGTAAAACGTCAGTTTGAAGTTGCATTCTACTTTTTTTATCCGTATCATTTCTTTTAAAATAATAAGAGATTAAAGTTTGCTAGGTTTCGAAAATTTTCAAAAGGGCACTTTGTAGTTATGAAACAATCATCAACTGTTAACCATTAATTTTTATTTCCAAAGATCCAAGTAATTTAGTTACCCTTGACTCTTAATATGTTCCTCAATAATGTTGGAGTTCTGACTGAGCCTTAGTAGAAGTTCAGGATCTCAATAAACGGTTCAATACAAAATTAAGATAGAGAGAAGAGATGCAACGAAGATTTTGTATTGGATACTTAAACCATGAAGATGGAAATTAATAAAAAAACTGTTGAAGAAGATCAATGTTAATGACATCATATTAATAGTAAGTAATAATAAAAAAAAACGTTTAAATTGGCCATTAGCTAGATTTATAGAGCTAATCTTAGCGCACAACAGTAAAGTTGGAATTGTGCGAGTCAAGATGTCATTGAGGTTACTGTTACGACCAATTCAAAGAACGATTCCCGTTGGAAATTGTTAAACATCAACATGTTTGAATCAATAGAAGACTCAGTTCAATTCTAAAGTGATGAAAACTAGAAGTCAGAAGAAAAGATAACGTAATTTTATATGAGAGTTTTCCCAAAATTATCTGAATGTTATAAAGTATTTCTTCGGCCTTTTTAGACGAACTTCGTGGTGTAGTGCTTAGCACACTCAGCGCGTATTCGAGAGATCCATAGTTCGAGTCCCGGCGAGGACTGCTCATTTTTCCTCTCTCCTACTTTCAAAAAACACCTAATGTTTCAACAGCGTCGCTATAACTAAAAAAGGTGGATAATGATTCTCCGCCACCAGGATTTGGTGATTGGGCCTCCTAATCTCCAGTTGCTCTTTAAAAGAGGGGGCGTACATAAAGGAATTTCTCCTGGCTTCTTAGCATGTCTTCGTAGTATAATAGTCAGCACGCTCGGCACGTATTCCATAGGTCCAAGGTTCAAGTCCCGGCGAGGGCATTGCTCATTTTTCATGTCTTCTGCTCCGAAATAACCTAATGTTTCTACAATGTCATAAAATTAAAATTCCTCAGAGGGTAAGCTTATAAAATTATTATTTGCAAAGGACTCACAGTAGTGTATAAAATTTATAATTTTTGTGAGTATTAGTTTCTGTTTTCAGGAAACAAAGATTTTAATGTTAAAGTTAATCTAGCTTCTTTGAATTAACCTAATAAAAGGAAATTTAAGATTTTAAATTTTTATATGAATTTGAGTAATCCTTTCTCCTCTCCCCTCCGAGTTGATGTGATATTTACGATAAATAATATTTTATAAAATTTATAAAAAATTTATACATTTATGCTAGAATTTTCTAAAATTTTTATGATACTTGATTGGAATGTCTTTAAAAAGCCTACTGTTGGCATATTTATCCTTGTATTTTCAATATTATGATATTCTTGGATTAAGCATTTATCATAAAGTCAGATTAAACAAACATACGTTTGTAGCTAATATTTGTCTGCTTCATTCGTCTAATTTCCTGTGAGTGTAAAGTTCTGATTTAGAGGTTTCAGCCTCTAAATTTGAAAACTTTTAAAGTTATACTACTAGCATGTTCATAACAATAATTCATACCATTTAAGTTTTTATGACTGAGCTCATGGTTTTATGATCATAGTGTAAAGTATGCAGTTTATGGAATATGAGAAAAAGCAATGTATTAAAGATTTGTGAAATGCATATAAGGAATAAAATACATTATTTATGGCAGTACCCTTTTTAAAGTAGAAAAATTACTACGTAAATAATATGGCATTCCCCACGATGAAATGTTTTTAAACGAGTAAACGTTTTCAATATATTATTTCTATATAGTTTGCTATCCTGAAACTTTACGTGACATTCACACACAAATTCTTAAATAAGGATAGTTCAAGTGTGATTATTCTGTACTAATATATCGGTTATTACATTTCATATGTGTATAATAATGTTTGATATTTGAGAAACTTGAGATTGCAGAAACATAATCGTGATTAAAATAGAATTAAATGAATATTGCAGAAATTAGTCAATTAATTTTCAGGCTCTGAAGAGCTGCTTGATACAAATTTCGTTTCAATTTAAAATTAATGTGAATGAGGAGTGTATATATTTATCTGTTTATAAACTTAAAACATCTCAAGTTAAAAGTAAACTGGAGTCAAAGCAAGGCAATTCCTCAACAATATTAAAAATTGCCACCATGTAAAATAGGTTTAACACAATATCTAAACAAATCAAAATTAAACTAATGAATTTATGGTAATACAAACTCGAAAAATAAAAATGCAAAAGGGAAAAATATACAATGATAAAAATATAAAAAAATATAAAAAAGGTACTTTTTCGTTTTGCCGGCGCAAACGATAAAGTCGCCAATAATGGTACAACTGATGCCAAACGGAATATCATCGCTGGGGACCTTTTACGCCTCATTTTCAAAACAAGTCGCAGCCAGTTATTACCAGATTGATTGTTTCTTTCAGTACTGGCGTACAATTACATAGAATATTTACAAAGATAATTAAACTGCATGCCGTAAGAACATTCGCGGTAATTAAGTCAATTAGGATCCAATCACACCGCTCACCCGAAGGCGAAAATATAGAAAAGGCAAAATCAAGGATTAAGTTCATCAATTCTAATGAGAATGCACTAGCGAAGTAAAGCACTGCGGTTTTACATAATATCTAAGTAACTTGTTTTCCAAATTTAAACTTGTATTCCAATTTAAGATTTAACTTGAAATTAATGTAGATAATTACTGAGAGAATTATATTTTTGTAGCGTAGTTTACGTGAGATTAGATCACTTGGGGTCACGTGATACGAACCTGCAAATGAGGATGTTGAACCACGATAGCATAGTAAATTCTTAAATTAATGTCTTTTCACAAATTTGTTATTCTTATTTATTGGCTTTTTACAAAATTTTAAACCATATTAACATGTTTATGCTTTCAAAACAAAAAATTCTTAGAACTAACATTTGTTAACATTTTTTATGTGTATACTGTATGTTGTCGCCAACAAAGTCCGCTTGCCGAGATTTGCGCCGGCGAAACGGAAAAGTACCAAAAAAATTTAATTTCCTTTTACTGAAACTCCATTTCAGAACTCATCAGGGGAAAATGAATTAAAGCTTCATAAAAGTCCATTAATATGTTTCGAAAACGTGTTTCGTTCTCTTGATTCATTTGAGATCAAAAACCGAAAAACGAATCAGTTATAGTGTTACGTTTTTTATTCTTCTGACACCAGTTGTTACGTTATTTTCTCTTCTTCTTATTTACGTTACGTTACGGGATTTGTGTAGATCTGGAGTGAATAACGACAAAACTTGATGAAGTATCGAAACACACTTTATTTACCAATATTAATCAGAACAGCTCCAAAACACTTTTACAGTCGTTGAAGACCTACAATAAACACGCTGGAACAATCAGCGGAACAGCCTTCACACTGTCAGGCAATAAAGGTGGAGATAGCTTCACTGCAAAGCACCAGAGTAGAGCTCCCGACTCTGCTCGGTCGTTCTCGGAATTCCACATACTCTCGAGACTCTCCAGGCTACAAATCGCGATGCACTCGACGACACACAGAGCACAGCTCCCGACAATTCGGTTCAGTAGTTCCCGGAGCTTAATATACTCTCTCGACGATGCACTAACCGCGATACACTAAGAGACTCTTTCGATGCATTCGACGACCCACTCAGTACTGCCCGGCTGTCAGTTCGCACGGAGTGATTCGCTAGACGAGACATCAACTCGATACTAACTAACTTGCACTCTGTGCGAGATACTATCTGACTGCAGACCAGCAGGGTTTATATAGCTTTCAGCTTGTTTTCGAGAACATTCTGGGCTAAACCGGTAAGAATTCGTTCCAGAAGGTTCTCCATCCGTCAATGGTATATCGCCAATTTTGTTGGCAAACGGGTGATTTCTCGCCAAATGTGGCAACACTGCCTTATCTTGCCATTTTATGGCAACCCTAAACCTTCTTTGCAGGGAAACTATCTCACCGCGCCTGTACATTTCGTAACAATATTTTCATTTGAAACATTATGCAGGGTATTTCAGAACTATTGTTCAGAAACGTACGTAGAGGTCCGGAGCATAACAGGCAATAATCAAGTAGGTCGCATGTGCAACCCCGAACTGTCCTGCCCTTCTTGCAACGTCCAAGAAGGGGCAGAACGTTTGGAGGATGATGCGACAAAAACGTTTTTGGATTTACAAGAAAAGCTTGGTGTATGAAATCCTTGTGGAATCGAACATGGACCTAGTGGCACGCATATCGTTGCTGCAAGTTATGTTCTTGCTAATACACCCGGCATTCTTTCAAACGTTCCTTGATCGATGCGTCGTCATCGCGAAGGTTGTATTGCACCTTCAGGGCACGACATTGAACACCTGCTTTAACAGTTTTATCCCAAAGAATATTCTTCTTTCTCTAATAAATCCTCGTTGTTTTAGAAATATCTTGCGTCTTTTTGTTTCTCTCTTTTTGGGGGAATAGCTCGTGAGGTTTTCTCATGCACTCCCGTGTTCTTATATGATTATTACCTGTTCCATGCACATTTTTAAACAGTAGTTCTGAAACACTGTGTATATATTCGTATTGCATTTCGTAAACTGAATGAAAAAAGCAACGCGTATTTTGAATTATATATATATATATATATATATATATATATTTAGGTAAAAATCATATTGGAGGAAAGCGTGGGTTATGAACTCATTTCGGAGCAACAGTCCAGCACGATGTGCGTGTGTGAGAATAAAAGTAAAATACAGCGTTTCAGGCTCCGTCCGATAAGTCTTGGTCAAGTGAATATAATTGTACACGGATTTTCAGTAGATGATGAGAGTAGAATTTGTGGCAACAGAACCACTGCAAGATTTAATGCCACAGATGTTGTTTTCAAGAAGCTTTTTGTTGAGGTATAATAATTTTTATAATGTTTTATTCTGTTGCACATTTTTTGATTTGTTTCAGTTCTTGATGGCCCCATGAACAGCATATTTCAGATAGAAAAGATATTGTTGCGTGCGTACGGGTTCGTTATGAATTGAATGCACAAGTCCGATAAAAAAAATGAACAAAATTTATTCAACAAATAAAAAAAAATGCTTAAATTTCCTCAGATATTCGTACAGGATTACAATATATCACAGTAGTTACCTTTAAACTACTCAAACGTCCAACAGAACTTAATTCAAAACAGCTAGAGAAAGCTATCGTTAGCTAATCCGCGAATTCGCTACAGTCAACAAGAGCAGTTTTCTAAACAAACTGCGTACGGGTTCGTTATGAATTGAATGCACAAGTCCGATGAAAAAAAATTAACAAAATTTATTATTATCACAACAAATAAAACAAAATGCTTAAATTTCCTCAGATATTCGTACAGGATTACAATATATCACAGTAGTTACCTTTAAGCTACTCAAACGTCCAACAGAACTTAATTCAAAACAGCTAGAGAAAGCTATCGTTAGCTAATCCGCGAATTCGCTACAGTCAACAAGAGCAGTTTTCTAAACAAAATCTTAAACAATAACTAACTAATTGAAAGAATTTTCATGCCGCTTATATAAATTCTTTAATTGCGCGAGAATTTTCTGGTTTTTTCCTCGAAATCAAAAAGAGATATTTATTTATTTAATGTTAAATGCACGTTCTCTTGTATTTTTAATTTTTCTGGCTTAGCTTTCTCATAGTATTCGTCACGCGCTGGAATGCACGGGGAATAAAACAATTGAAGTTATAATTCTACTAACATTAGCTATTTAAATATCGAATCCGTAACAATATTATGTGTTAAATATTAATACAGTTTTAATTTCTTCGATAATAAAGGTAAAATACTTTAATAGTTTTACTGAAAATATAGGTAATATTTTAAACAAACTTAAAATGGAAATATAAAATTCAATTTCAATAATAAGGAAAATATAGTAGTAATATAGGAGAATCATATAAAAATCTACAACTAGAATGCATTTTTCAAATTCTTAAGTGAAACTTTTTAGTATTCCTCTTCCTTATTAACATATTCTTTACAGTTCCTTGAGAGTTGCGCAAGCAGTGTTTTTCTGCATATATTAATTATTTGATGCATCTAACGAAGAAATTGATAAAAATAGTTCTCATTCTATTGATTATGGACTAAAATTTAAGATTAAATCCCTAAACTTACCATCTACTTGATTTTTCGCTTGGTGTGCTACATTATAAAGCTTTCAATTCGCAGGTAATTTATAAAATTTATTATAAAACTCTAACAAAATATATATACTAACTAGCGGACTGAGGTCAAAGGAAAATTTATAAGTTCTATATATATACCTGAAAAGAAAATGTATAAAAATATTTCAATAGAAATAAAATCAGTTCTTGCTTTCCAAGCAATAAACAATTCGTAAATAATTTTTTGGTTGCCAAACCAGGAAACGAAGTTTTTGACACTTCAGGTTAATGCGTATACATATGACGTCATAATTTAATGTAATATAACAACTTTTTCTCAATATCAATAAAAGAATTGATGTGGCAATAACATACCGTGTCCATTATCCTAACCTGAAAAAAAAATTTGCCAACAGCAGCTATTTATTTAAAATGCTGAAATTAACAGAAAATTTTCGACGTACAATGACGTCACATGAAATCGTGTGCTTTCTCCAACATATGTTTATATATATAATAATAACATATTTAATGTTTGGTAATGTTATTTTTATTTCATATTTTGTAAAACTTACAAAATTTTTTGAGCAAACTCTACGATTTGAAAGCGAGCAGTGGCAACACTTTTCGAAACGAAGCAGATTTTTATCTCTAACGAGCGAAACTCTTGCCACACGAGAAAATAAGTGCCAGAAACTATATTTTCAGAATTCTTAATTAATATTTAGGCTAATTAAATTCTAACGAAGATGAAAATGGTCGAAATGGTTTTCCACGAACTTTTGCAACCCGAGGGGGGGAGGTTTAACTCCCTGCCACTCCGGAGGTTATGATGCCACAAACAAACAGACAGAGGTGCACGATTTTAATAGCATAGATTATAAATTAATATTTCGAGGGAGAGCACATAATTTTTTTCATAAAAATATTCATAAATTTTAAAAATATTTTTACAAAATAGCGAGATTTAAAAAATAAAGTTCGGTTGTTTTCACTTTATTAATTATTTTAAAAAATGTAAAGAATCCAGTATTTTGCCTTTCTTTTCGGGCGTTTGAAACTTAATCTTTGACAAAATTTATGAATCCGAAAGTTTCTGCAAAGCGTTTGAGCTCATTTTTAACCGAATTTCTTTCAGAGAGAAAACGCTTCTGTAGAAAGGCGATATCATTACAGCACCTCAACAGGAATATCTCACAAGTGAAGAAAGTAAGAATATTTTTAGTTCCATAAAATATTTTAACTAGATGTATTAATTTTCCTAGTAAACACTAAAATCTACCGTTCAGTTTTTTCCTTATAATTTGTCAAAATAATAATAAATATTCATAACTGCATCTTAAATAATCAAAATATAATATAAGAATTCTTCTACTGTTTGTATGTATTTTTTATCGATGAAAAAAACAGTTTAATTCATTGCGAACTGTAGCTTTGTATAAACTCTAGACGTACTTATTCATCATAAATTAAGAATGGTTTCTTTCAACTAATTTTCAAACAAAGGAGTATACAAAAGTAATAGCAATAATCGCTTCGAATATCGCTTAAAAATGCATGAGAGCTGTTTCGTATGTTAATTCAATCCCTAATTGAGATCAGTCGTAGAGTCATTACATTTATCGTTGCAGGAGACGTGAAAACAGAGCAGTGCCCTCGCCGGGATTCGAACAACAGACCTCCCGGTTATAGCCGGATGTGCTATCCAGTTGCACCATGAACACACGCGGGTAAAAAGAAGAAAATACCTTATGCAATTTTTAACAAAAAAAAAAAAATGCATTTTTATGCTGCATTTCAGAAATGTATATTTTATATAATCGTGATACATATATTAAGTTTCAAGATGAATGTTTTATACAAAACGAACATATATATTTATTTTAGACAACCTTTTGATTCAGTAATACATAATACATTTATCTCTTTTGGAAGATCTTGCTGTTAATTTCTTCTTATTTTAAAGGAAAATTGAAAATTAAAGATTATCAATAAATTGGGTTTCCAGGGACTATTAGATTTTTCAGAACTGGAACCAAATATGCTCTCGAGAGCATTCAAGCCACAGATCTTGAATTTCTAACTGAACGTTCCACTTACATCTTAGAAGCAGATATGTGGGCATGCGAAGACTGCTTGCATTCCCCCCCCCCCCGACGTTTCACTTAGCGACTGTAGTGGGGCACGAGACCCAGTTGAATAAATTAAGATGATGACGAATTAGCGCTTTATTTATTTATTTAGAGACGCCATTATAAAGGCCATTTGGATTTTCGGAGCGGGAATAAAAAAAGAAATGTTTTATGTTTTTTTCTGAGACTCGAACCATGCATTTTTCTCCTCTCAGCACTAGCCGGCCAGACGAGAAAGTGGCTAATCCCGAGGTCAAATCCCGCAGAAGTCTTGGATATAAGCATATAGTGTCTGTGTGGCAAGGGGGCACTTAAAATACACGACAAACCGAAATCCTCTTGAGAAGTTGATGGTAAGGAGAACAGGAATTCCGGACCTCGGCCGTGCCTAGAGTTGTTCTCTGTTGGAATTCCAAACTAGAGGGGAAGCTTAACAGTTAGCTACGTAGCCCGTGGTACTATAGAAATACCGGCCTAGATTGTACGTGTACCACTATATGTTGCCAGCTAGACATCGCACCACGAGAGCACGCGAGGAGGAATGCTAAATTTCTTTACGGTTATAAAGATGTAAATCATAAGAGATTAATAAATAGAATATTTAATACTAAACTGTTGGGATCTGAGAAAGTAGTGAAAAAAATTTCCCAAAGTTAAACTCTGGCAGGATTTTTATTTATTTATTATTATTTCCTTTTTTTTTAAGATGAATGTGATGAATGTGGAGGTATTCTTGGAGGGACGAATGGCACTATCACCAGTCCTTCATTTCCCGAGCCATATCCACACAATAAGCGATGCATCTGGGACGTAATGGCACCGCTAGGCTTCAACGTCATACTCAACTTCACGCATTTCGATCTGGGAGTCGATAACGTATCATTTAAAATGTTTCTTTTTCTTTTAACCTAAAATTTTTAACGACGAAAAAGGCTATATTATAATGTGCAAAATTTATCGACTAATCTATGAAAATATAAGATATTGAAGGCAAATTTAACACATACATCATACCCACTACAACAACTGAACAGGCAAAAGGAGCAGTGCCTTGAAGAACAAAACGATGAAGAACACCGTGAAGAACAAAACAATATCACAACCATAATTACTGAACAAATTTTAAACTATTTATTAGCCCTAATGCTCTTTGCCATTAACTAATTTTCTTTTCGCATTTTACGTTGGTTCACTATGAAACGGCGTTTCACTTTTCAGTTTTTTGCTACCAATATTTAGAGCCTTGCATTGTATTTAAATTAAATAATGAAGAATCTCGCATGAATGTATGCACGTTTCTCGCACTGTGAAAAATCAACGGTACCTAGAGACTTTAAATTTTGAATAACTCGAATATGGGCGTCTGGAAGCCCAAATTTTGAATTTGTTTTATTATTTGTTTCATATTTAATACCTAAATTCATATTTTGTATTTATTCATATTTTATATTTAACCTTTAACAAATTTTTGATTAAAAAATAGATTTCAAAGTGAGCAATGGCAACACTGTACGGAAAAAAAAAATTATCTCCAGCGTACGAGATTGCTTAACGGAAATTATAAAGATATGCTTTTTTTTTAATATTTTGTGATACTGCTTTTGAATTGAATTTTATGATTGAAGTGCGAAGACCATGATATTTAATAAGTAACACACAAAACGTTAAAAAAACGCCCCTTTGGGAGTAATAAAAAATCTGAAAGCTTTCAGATTTTTTTTCTGTTTTTACTTTATTTAAACTCAAGTACTTGAAAACTAATTAAAATCAGGCAAAAAAATTAAATTGTTATTATAGAAATAACACAGCAGTAGCATTAAAATTTTTCGCTAATTCTAAAATATACCTATTATATTCTTGAAATGAATTAATATGTCCTCATGCTTTCGCCCCTCTTCAGTTTTGGATGGTCTCTTGAAGGACGTGTAAACGTTGTATCGTTAATTTACACTCATGCCCATAAATTAAGGATAATTCGGAGTCCCGCGAAAATCGAACTCTAAAATAAATATATCACCTGTAAAATCACCACACACATCTTCAAGAATCATATGCAAATTTCAGGATGTAACTAGATGACACCGATGGTACGTCACAATGACGAGAGTGTAAAAGAGTGATATATAAGGAATACAGGCAAAGAAGTATAATTGTTCGCAGGCGCTTTATAAGCATTTCAGTGCAATAACCGAATAGTTATGACACAAAGGACGCATTTGGATGATTTTTTACGTGGTAGAATTATCGGCCGTCTGGAATGTGGTCGTACCCAACTGGAAGTATCAGAAGAACTTGGAATTGCTCAAAGTGTCATTTCCAAGCTTTGGTAACGATTCCAAGATGATTGTATGAGTAGACGTTACAGCACAGGTCGCCCCAGAGTTACAACGCCGAATGAGGATCGGTATTTGGCAGTTACTGCCAAAAGAAACAGGCGGAGTACAGCCTCAGACCTGTCTCGTCAGCTCTTTTCAGCCACTGGTACGACAATTTCAAGGCACACCGTGTACAGATGCTTAGGGCAGATTGGTCTATATGCTCGTAGACCTGTCAGATGCGTTCCACTTACTGCAACTCACTGTCGCCTGCGGTTAGCCTGGAGTCGAAACACCGCAACAGAGGGCTTGTGTGATGTTTTCCGACGAGTCCACGTTTAGCTTGCAGTCTGATTCTCGCCGGACTTTTATATGGAGAGTTCCAGGTACCCGTTACCACCAAGAAAACATCATTGAACGACACCGTTAGGGTGGTGCAGGAGTGCTCGATTGGGGTGGAATTATTCTGGATTCCAGAACTGACCTGAATGTTCAAATTGGAACCATGACAAGCCAAATCTATCGGGACGTCATTCTGGAACAAAATGTACGTTTGTTTCGGGACGCCATGGGCGCGCAACTTGTGTTTATGGATGACAACGCCCGTCCTCACCGTGCAAACATCGTAAGCGAATGCCTTCAATCGGCGGATATCACCCGTATGGACTGGCCAGCATTCTCACCGGACTTGAATCCAGTAGAGCACGTGTGGGACATGCTTGGCCGATGAGTTGCAGCCCATCAACCTCCTCCTACATGTCTACCGGAACTTCGGAGAGCATTGCTTTTTGAGTGGAGTAATATCCCCCAAGATCGGATCGATAATTTGATACTCAGCATGCCTAGACGTTGTACGGACTGTATTGCATAGTCTGGGAGTCATACAATGTATTAACAATCATACCAACCACGTAATATTGGTTTTTTGTAAATAGGTTTTTTTTTTTTTTTTTTTTTTTTTTTTTTTTGTAATTTGCTTTAGGGAGAAAATTTCGCTAATTTTTTTAATAATTATCAAACATATAACACCTTTATTTGCTCTTTAACTTTTGTTTAATAAATAAGCTTTACAAATAAGTCAAATTTGTTTTGCTTCTAACTCTTACTTTGCCTGATTTTGCATTATCCTTAATTTATGGACATGTGTGTAGATAATAATGAAAGCATATGTGCCACCCAAAAGATTTAATCAAAAAACGTATAAATTTCTAATGTTTTATTTTACACCTATTTACTTTAATTTCATTTGAAAAATAGCCTAAACGAAATATTGCGCAGTTCAAATCCTGGAACATATGACTGAAATAACAGAGATAGCAAATTATTAGAAAAATTATAAATTTCGCTCATATACTGTTTGAATAGAATAGTATAAATATAAAGCAAATGCTGTTAGAATGGTAACGAAACATTTTTAAAAGAAAAACTTATAAGGTTGACCAAATATTCAGCAGAAGCCTCAAAAATAAAAACAAAAGTAAATTAAGAAAAGAAACTCTGTAGAATAACAAGAATCACTTTTCAGATTAAGTAGAATATCAAGAATCACTTTTCAGATTAAGTAGAATATCAAGAATCACTTTTCAGATTAAGTAGAATATCAAGAATCACTTTTCAGATTAAGTAGAATATCAAGAATCACTTTTAAGAACCAATTTCTTCTATCTCTTCTATTCTTGAATTCTTAAATTCTGTAATTTAAAGTGGCATTTAGCTGCTATTATAAACAGCTCTTCTCCATTTATCTCAATTTACTGCTTAA